CTCCAAAGCCATTGACAACAAGCGGAAGTTCTGGGATAACAAGGAAAAGAACACAGCGCAGAACGTTGTAAAAAACAGCAGGTCGTGGCTGTTCATGCTGCGATAACACCTACTGCTACTGCGCCGATGAAGCAGTATGATGGGACTTGCCCAAGTGCAATAAGTGCAACTTCCACCATAATGGACCCTGCCGGGAAATGCAGTGCATTAACTGAAACAGGAAGGGGCACACTGCCCGTTTCTGCAAGGTTTCGGCAAGGCCAATCACCCAAGTCCCCAACATTGGTGTGGGCCAGGCTTGCTACGAGTGTGGCGAGGTGGGCCACTACAAGAGGAACTGCCCGAAGGCAGGGAATGCCGACGGAGTAGGAAAAGTTTTGGCTATAGTCCACGAAGAAGCAGTAGCTGACCCTACAGTGGTCACTGGTACGTTTCTCCTCGATAACTCATATGCATGCATATTGTTTGATAGTGGAGCGGAGAGGAGTTTCATGAACCAGAATTGCTCACTTACTTAAGCAACAATCACGTGCACTTAAAGAACTATTAACTGTAGAAATGGCTAACGGAAAGACAGAGAGCACTAACTGCATATACATTGGATGTACCCTAACTATAGATAGCCATTCATTTCCAATCGACCTCATTCCGGACTCAATTAAAAGTTTCGACGTCATAATCGACATGGATTGGTTGTGCCTGCATCGTGTCGACATCATGTATTATGAGAAAGCCGTTCGTCTTAATCTGTCGTCTAACGAAACTCTAGTCATCTACGGCGATAAACCAGGCACGAACCTTTGTATCATCTCGAGCATACAAGCCCATAAGTACTTACGAAAGGAATGTCACGTATTCCTTGCTCATGTTGTCGATATGAGCCAAGAGACGAAAGACATAAAGAACATCCCAGAAGTACGCGACTTTCCCGACATCTTTCCAAAAGAACTACCAGGCTTACCTCCACAGCGTCAAGTCGAGTTCAAAATTGACTTAGTTCCAGGGGCTACCCCAGTAGCCAAATCTCCCTATCGTCTAGCACCAGCCGAGATGCAGGAGCTATCCGATCAACTTAACGAACTGCTCAACAAGGGCTTTATTAGACCAAGCTTCTCACCATGGCGAGCACCGGTCTTATTCGTGAAGAAGAAAGACGGATCGTTCCGTACGTGCATCGAGTACAGAGAACTTAACAAGCTGACCGTCAGGAATCGTTACCCTCTACCTCGCATAGACGATTTGTTCGACCAACTTCAAGGGGTGAATTACTTTTCCAAGATTGATCTAAGATCCGGGTATCACCAGTTATGAGTGTTAGAGGAGGATGCTCCGAAGACAGCCTTCCGAACTCGTTATGGACACTATGAGTTTGTAGTGATGCCATTCGAATTGACCAATGCGCCCGCAGTATTCATGGACTTAATGAATAGAGTGTGTCGTCCTTACTTGGATCAGTTCGTCATTGTATTCATCGATCACATACTTATCTACTCTCGTAGTAAGGAAGAGCATAGTTGTGACAACCCGAAATTTCTCCCGTTATTTTTAACCCATCTCCCTTAATAAAATTTAATCTTATTAAATTTTCCGTCAACTTCTTGGGTTAAGTAAATCAACTAGGGATATAATTAAAATTCTATACGATTCGGAATAAACCGGGAATCACGCGAAAAACTTGAAATTTCCTCGAAAATCACCGAGTTCACGGTCACGGCAAGTTTACGACTGTAAACTCGTGTAGACCGTAAGCCCGTTTATGTTCGGTGCCAGGTGGACCCCCCCCCCCCCCTTGACCGAGAACTCTACCCTATATATAGGGTATTTGGCCTTTATTTCACACTTTAAACACTCCAAAGACTTTCTCTCTCTACAATTTTCGAGTTTTGCTCAAGAAATCCTCAAGAATGTAAGGGATTCCTTCCTTTGGGTGTTAATCTTTCCTATAACCATGACTCACTCTTGATTCATCCATGGATTTCGCTTTTTATCTATATCTTCAAGAATCCTCAAGAACACCTTAGTGTTTTGGACCAAAAACACCTTTCTTTGCCTTCAAATCGTAAGTATCATCCTCTTATACTTATATCTAGTTAGGATTCTTGAGTTTTGCCTTGAAATCATCACTTTTCCATGAACAAAAGGTGTTTACGGTCTAGTGTATCTCCTTAGACCGTACACCCATCAATGACCGTAAACTCATGGGCCGTAAACCCAAAGACCGTAAACCCATGGACCGTAAAGCCTATAACCGTAAGGTCATTAGACCGTAAACCCATGGAACCGTAAACCCATGGACTGTAAACCCATGACGGTACACTCCTGATTACGGCCGCAAACTCCCCTCTTCAATCACATGTGATTCTAACACTTAGTTTTAAGTGTTTCCTAGTCCCTAAGGTGATTCTTTCCGTAACAAATATTGTTATGCCCTCACCTAATACATATATGTACTTCTACATGCTAAATAGGATCTGTGTGTGCCCGAGGCTTTATTTGACACTCAGCAATTCCTAGCAACTTACACTCGAATCCCACGTCAAATTGTGAGTTCATACCCCTATATTTTCCGAGTTTTTAAATGTTTTCAGGAGGGGAATACAAGCAAAAGTACAAGGAAACTTGTGCCCAAAATATATTATTTTGCTTAAGATAACTATATGTTTAGAATGCTTTTAACACAGAAAACAGTTTTACCAAACGATTCAGAAATCAACTCGTAGAAACAGTTTTCAAAACTAAAGTAATGAACTCGTGAAACGTATCGTAAAATGTATATCATACAGATTATAAACAGGATTTTTAGTATTATTACTTGTAAATTGTTAGTCTAAAGTTGGGGACACGTCCTTGGTAACACCCCCACAGAACTGGGTGTAGGAATAGCACTTGTAACCAGAATCTCTTGTAGGGAGAACGTGACTATTGTGTATAGATCTATACGGGACCGACTATCCCGCACCCTACTGCTAGCTACAGTTAGACCGATAAGGCCAGGGGTGACAAAGTCATAAAAAGATACTGGCCCCGTTACGTGTCGTATCAAGTCTAAGTACGGTTATGGCACTCGCAACCTAGATAACAGGAATTTACTTTTGTAATAGAGAAACAAGTGAACTAATTTCAAAGTAATAACCGATTTGACTACTAATAGTTATTAATAATACCCTTAGGATTTAGTTCATCTCGTATTCTTTAGTTTTATTTATGTAATAAGGCTAATACACCTCACAAGGAGCAAACAGGGTTTTTCAAGAAAACTACGTCTAACAATATAAGTATGGTAGATACTTGTACACCTCATACTAGAAACAAATAATTCAAATAGCGTACACTTAAGGAAAATATAGGATTTTCCAGGGTAAACCTCGGTATTTTACAAATAATTGGGTCATTATTCAACTAACGAAAATTCAATAGTAATTCCATGACTGCTTAGTTTATGCATCCATGTTACGTATGAAGAATACCTGATAGACTGTGGAATGTGTGTTTTACGCCTCATTCCCTGTTCCTTGTTTGGTTGTGGGTTTAGGGCAGATCCACACAATTAACTGTCTATCTGATATTGGTTTATGCATCACTAGTATGAACTAAGAAGTCATAGAAGAAATGGGTTAATCATACTTTTCATAAGAAAATATTGGATTTTCTTGAGGAACACTTTCAACAGATATCAAAGAATCATTTTTACTTAACATTCATTACATCAGAAAATATATGGTTTTCAGGAGAAACATAAGGTACGTTTCGAAAGAATAAAGAATAGTTTTCTAAAACAAAACGCTTATGAACTCACCAGCTTTATGCTGATACTCTTTCAAACTGCTTGTATGAAACTATGTACTAAGACTATTTAAACCTTTTTCATGTATGTATTCAATGTTTGGTTGTGTTTACTTTGATTGCTATGATACGATTGTTGTGATACTACGCATGACGTCACCCGCCCCCGGACGTTTCCGCCATTATTTCTGACGGTTCAGGGGTGTGACAATAGTCAACACCTACGATAGGTCTTAGAAACACTACGACCAGAGAAGCTTTATGCGAAGTTCTCTAAGTGCGAGTTTTGGATTCGAAGAGTCGAATTCTTGGGTCACGTGTTCAGCGAAGAGGGAATTCACATGGATCCTTCCAAAATAAAGGCCATTGAGAACTGGTCAGCTCCGAAGGCGCCTACAGAAATTCGTTAATTTCTAGGCCTCGCTGGCTACTATCGTAGGTTCATTTAGAACTTCTCAAGGATCGCAAAACCACTTACTACATTGACCCAGAAAGGTGTGGCCTTCGAGTGGGAAGAGAAACAAGAGAAGGCGTTCCAAACGCTGAAACGAGCGTTATGCACCTCACCGATACTATCCCTCCCAGAAGGGATAGAAGATTTCGTGGTTTATTGCGATCCATCCAACCAAGGACTTGGTTGTGTTCTTATGCAACGAGGAAAGGTCATCGCCTTTGCCTCAAGACAGCTAAATACACAAGAAGTCAACTACACCACACATGATCTTGAGTTAGGAGTAGTGGTATTTGCTTTGAAGATCTGGAGACACTACCTGTATGGTACAAAAAGCACTATCTCTATAGACCACAAAAGCCTTCAACATATATTCGACCAGAAGGAGCTGAACATGAGACAACGACGGTGGGTCGAGCTACTCAGTGACTACGAATGCGAAATTCGTTATCATCCTGGCAAGGCCAACGTAGTAGCTGACGCCCTAAGTCGGAAAGAATACTCTGGTTGTAGAGTCAAATCATTGAATATGACTATCCATTCACATCTGTCCACACAAACTAAGGAGGCTCAGCTTGAAGCCTTGAAGCCTGAAAATGTGTCGGGTGAATCCCTTAGAGGGATGGATAAAAACTTGGAAGTCAAGGGTGGCAGAGCCTTGTACCTCATGGATCGGATCTGGACACAGAGACACGATGGTTTCAGAGACTTGGTCATGACCGAAGCACACAACTCTTGATATTCCATCCACCCAGGTTCAGATAAGATGTATCTGGATCTGAAAACGCTATACTGGTGGCCTAACATGAAAGCAGATATTGCTACCTTCGTGAGCAAGTGCCTTACTTTCGCAAAGGTTAAGGTCGAATACCAGAAACCCTCAGGTTTGCTACAACAACCAGAGATACATGAGTGGAAGTGGGAGCGGATCACGATGGACTTCATAACCAAGTTGCCCAAGACATCGGGTGGTCTCGATACCATTTGGGTGATCGTAGACAGGTTAACAAAGTCCGCACACTTCCTGCCTATCAAAGAGACTGACAAGATGGAGAAACTAACAAGTACCTACATTAGGGAGATTGCACGACTGCATGGTGTTCCCATATCCATTATCTATGATAGAGAAAGTAGATTACCTTCTAGGTTCTGGAAGTCGCTACAAAGTTCCCTGGGTACTAGGCTGGATATGAGTACAGCCTACCATCCGCAAACCGATGGACAAAGTAAGAGGACTATTCAAACTTTGGAAGATATGTTGCGAGCATGTGTGATAGATTTTGGGAAGGCATGGGATAGTCATCTTCCCCTTGTCGAGTTCTCCTACAATAACAGTTATCACACGAGCATAAAGGCTGCTCCATTTGAGGCCCTCCATGGCCAGAAGTGCGGTTCCCCTCTGTGTTGGGCTGAAGTGGGTAACACACAGTTAGCTAAAGGACAAGTTCCTGACAGTAACTCTCACAGGTCCGGAAATTATTCGTGAAACGACAGAGAAGATCGTTCAGATTCGTGAACGATTGAAAGCCTCTAGAGACCGACAGAAAAGCTACGCAGACAAGAGAAGGAAACCTTTGGAATTCCAGGTTGGCGACCGTGTTCTATTGAAGGTCTCACCCTGGAAGGGCTTTATACGCTTCGGAAAGCATGGAAAGCTAAATCCAATATACGTAGGGCCTTTCGAGATTCTCGCTATAATCGGCCTTGTAGCTTACAAAATCAGACTACCTCACGAACTTAGTAACGTACACCCTGCTTTCCACGTTTCGAACTTGAAAAAGTGTCTGTCCGAAGAGACTCTTGTAATCCCACTCGACGAGATCGAGATCAACGAGGGACTCAACTTCGTGGAAGAACCAGTAGAGATCATGGACCGAGAGGTCAAGCAAACGAAGCAAAGCCGTATCCCGATAGTGAAGGTTCGCTGGAATGCCAAGCGAGGACCTGAATTCACTTGGGAGCGCGAGCACCAAATGAAACTGAAATATCCTCATCTTTTTACTTAGTGATTTGTAATTGCTTAAACTCTAATTTCGGGACGAAATTCTCTCTAACGGGGGGATGATGTGACAACCCGAAATTTCTATCTTGTAAAGCCATTCAATTTAACCAAAAGTCAGACCTTTTTTATGTTATCTTCTAGCATTGTTAAGGGACTGTTTGAGTGTTTTAAGCCTAGTACATTCAAGGATTGGGTGTTAGGAAGTATCTACTAGAGTTCAGTGTGCAACATTCAAGCCGGAAAACTCCAACACTTGGACTTTACGGTCGTAAACTAGAGATTACGGCCGTAATCTCTTGGCTGGCCGTGAACTCCACCCTTAACGGTGATATCCCTTCATTTTTCATCACTTTTCGCACTTTGAACTCAAGAAAAATCATTTTCTCTCTCAAGTATCATCAAGAACACATCCATTTCTCGTCAAATTAGTAAGTGATTCGTCCTATGTTAGTTGATATCCTTCTTAATCTAGTAAAACCTTCTGATTTCATACTTGAATTCATCTATTTTGGGTTAGATCTTCAAGAACACCAAGAAACACCCACTAGTTCTTTGGGCCGTGAACATCCCTTCAAGCTGCAAAAACATAAGAAGCTCTTGAAATACACCCTAGAAATCAATCATTTCACCAAGAACAATAAGAGTTTATGGCCATAGCATCTCCTTTGGCCGTAAACCCCTATCAAGAACATCATTGGTCGTGAACTTCATGAGGCCGTGAACACTCCATGGCTGTAAACACCATGGCTGTAAACACCCAAGGCCGTAAACACACCCTTATGTGTGGTCGTAAACCCCTTTAGAACAATCATATGTGATTGTAACATTTCATTCCAAGTGTTTCCTAGTCCTTAAGGTTGTTCCCTATCATGATTAGTTGTTATATACACTAATTATATACATATATGTGTCATTATATGCTTAATAGGATCCGTTTGTGCTCGAGACTTCACTTGACACTTAACATCCTATATCCATCTTTCATTCGAATCACTCACTGCAGGTGAGTTCATACCCCTTAGCTTATCTTTTAAATGATTTTAAATGCTTTTATGGGGGGAATACAAGTAGAAAACATTATAGTTACTGTATCAATCACATATGATTTATAACTATCAAACAAGTGGATTTCTTATACTTCAAACTATGTTATCAAACAACTGTTTCAGATCATTTTATAAAACTCTTTTATATGCTAAACTCTTTATCAAACTCTTTTAAACTTATATATTGTCCAAATCATGTCTATATGGATATAGTTATATAAATAAGGTTGAAAGGGCTTAGGAGTGATAACTCGTTTTATTTCTTGTTCCTTGTTTGGTTGTGGACTTAGGGTATCGGTTGTTTGTCCGAGTGTCGTTTGAATCTTAGTTATATATTATGTATATGTATGTAGATATAAAAGTTCTTCCAATCAGTTCAATACCTTTGGGTAGCAAAGTTGTACAAACATGATCAGTCATTCAAACAACAGTACTAGTAAACTATAATAGGTATAGTTTAGGAAGTTGCTACTTTCTATTTACTATTTCTAGAACAAATAAACATACAAGAGTCAGTTCATACATGAGTCAGTTCAAACATACTATAATGAGAAACAATTCATACTACACACTAGAACAGAGAGAACATACTATACACTAGAACAGAGAGAACGTACTATATACTAGAACAGAGAGAAAATACTATACAAATACAAGAACATTATAACATTAATGTGAGCTACTACTTCATGGCATGGCAATATACTGTTGTGTCACATTTTGTAACCAGAGTCTCATGGAGGGAGAGCGTAAGTTTGTGTATAGATCTATAGGGGATTAACCATCCTACACCTTGCTGCTAGCTACAGTGGGACCTGCAGGTCTACGGGTGACGAATGTCATATCATTTTGACGTCTTTGATCGTCGTGTTTAGTACTCAATCAAGTATGGTTACAATCTTATCACATTTTACCTTAATTACATAAACTGGTTTAAGGTAGTCAGTACATTGGTAGTTACTTATATAATACTACAGTACATCCTTATTTTCCCATTACATTCACATTGTGATCTTCTCACATAAACGGTAATGAAAACTATATTTTGGTAATGATAGTCATACTTGGGAAAAACATTCACTTTTACAAAGGAACAAACATAAAGAACAGTCGGGTCTTAGTAGAAGACTACTTTAGTAGAAAATATAGGATTTTCTAGGAAGTATACAAACATTTACATCAAACACTTACAAACATGTACATGAAACACATACAAACATTTTCATCAAACTTATACAAAAAATGAAACTAAAATACTTATGAACTCGCCACCTTTAATGCTGATCTATGCTTTCAAAATAACTTGTATTCTCAGGTCAGCAGTAGACAGGTACCGATGACCAGGTTTTGAAAAGACGGAGCACGTTCAAGACTCGTCTTTTATTTTGATTCTTATTTTTGGTGTCTTTCAAACTATATAGAACACACTTGTATTAAAATTATATTATTAATGCAATGGATGATGTTGTTGCTTGTTTTACAATTATGCATTGTTATGATACTATACATGACGTCCTCCGCCCCCGAACATTTCTGCCGTTCTGGTTTAGGGGTGTGACAGAATCGTTCATGTAGCTTACAAACTTCGACAACCCCAAGAATTAAGTAACATTCATCCTACCTTCCATGTTTCGAACTTGAAAAAGTGTCTATCCGACGAGACTCTTGTGATCCCACTTGAGGAAATCGAGTTAAACGAGAGCCTCAACTTTGTGGAAGAACCCGTAGAGATTCTAGACAGGGAAGTTAAGAAAACCAAACAAAGTCGTATCCTGATAGTGAAGGTTCGCTGGATTGCAAAGCGGGGACCTGAATTCACTTGGGAACGGGAAGATCAAATGAAACAAAAGTATCCACATCTTTTTCCCTAGTCCTAGATTATCTCTATAGTTTATAATTTCGGGACAAAATTCCCTCTGACGGGGGGATAATGTAACAACCCGATATTTCAAGTCAATATAATTGTCTAAGTCAAATTGTAACTTATTTTGAAATAATAAAAATAGAAGTTTTCTGAGACGAAAATAAGTGTCAAAAATAAATTGTTCAATAATCTTAATTGGGATGAAAAAAGTGGTAGACATTGTAACAAGGTTTCCAAAATATAAACAACACTAAAATCCGAGTTATAATGAAGAAGTTATGACCAATCGAAGATCCGCGACAAAACCGGCAAAACACTGTTCAACGTAAAAAGTGAGTTTTCAATAAAATGCTTTTTAGCTTTAACAATGTAAATGAAAGTTGTAGAATATGTTAAACCGAGAACCTTCATAAAAAGAACGTCAAAATCTGACTTCGTATGAGGAAGTTAGGATTTTTCTAAGATTCGGTATAGCAGTATAAAGCTAAAAACTCGAAATAAAGATCGAGTGAGTTTTAGCCGACACAACCTAAACAAGAATCGAAGGTCTCGTCAATAGTAGTATAACGGTAAAAAGACAGACAAAAACGGACTTCGGATGAAGAAGTTATGAATTTTTAACGGATTTTCATGTCCTAGTTTGTTAAAAATAATAATATTAAAAATAAACAAAAAATTAGCCGACGAAGTCTAAAAGAAAGTCGTATAGTATAATTTCACCTATGGGTGCATATAAATAACGTCGAAAACGGAGCTCGTATGCGAAAGTTATGAATTTCGCAAGTTTTGGGCACAAAAACAGAAAAATATTGAAAACCGGGAAATTTCGCATGGCCACAATTCGGCCACGTCATCTCGCATACGAGGCTGCCTCGTGTCCTCCACGTGTTCGCTGCTGATTCGACCAAAGGCGCAGCCCAATGAAGAACCGACGCGCCTCGCATCCATGGAGCATCAGAAGCGAGCCACGTCTCGCCTGCGAGCTTCCGACTCCTGGCCTCCTCCTCGCATCCGAAGCCGCCACCTGTCTCCCCTTCGCCACCTGTCTGAACATGCGTCGCACACTCCCCTCTTCGGACCGAACCCTCGCACCTATATGAAGGGTGCGATATTCTCTGGTTCCTACACCTCTTTTATTCCATTTTTTCACACTTTTTCACTTCTTTCACTCCCATAAAGCTCCATACAACCCCCCCCCCCCCCCCCCGAAGCCCCGGTATCATATCCAACACTCAAATAACATCCCGAGACACTAGAAGTCAGCAAAAATAGAGTCCTTCGGTATCTACACCGGACCCTCACAAGACCTGATTTCCAATAATAAAGCCTTCTTTTCTGGCAACAAAGTGCTACCCAATTCACAACCTATCAAGTGAGTTCATACCCTTATAATCTACCTTTTAACTGATTTTAAAATTATTTTTAGGGGGGATACAAGTTGAACACAAGCTAATTGTGTTACTAATTACATGTGATAAACGATTTCCTTATGCTTTTAATTTTTGTTTTTACAATAAAAGATTACCAAATGCTTCTATGATGACTTAAAGTCATGATGATATAAAGTCATGTATACTCTTTTCAAAATCACATAGACTCTTTTTAAAATACCAATAAACTCTTTTAAATGTGCTTATAACTCATTAAACTTATAATTGTCAAAAGCATGTTCATATATCTATAAGTATACAAATAAGACTTAAAAGGCTTAGGACTAATGAGTTGCCTTATTTCCTTTTCCATGTTTGGATGTGGGCTTAAGGTGGGCTTATTTCTCCGAAGGTCGTTTCGTTTATATATATATATATATATATATATATATATATATATATATATATATATATATATATATATATATATATATCTATTATACATATGAGAATATAAAAGGTTACTTCAGTCGGTATCATTACCTTTGTATCATGCTGAGCAAAGGGGTATTTTCAGGATAGATCATGTTAATAAGATAGAACGTATAAATTATAATAGATATAATTTATGAAACAAACAAGAAATCTATTTTCTAGATAAGTATACGAGGTCTAAACTACTTTGTCAAGAAAAGGATATAATTCGATCTTTACTCAAACTAAA